CCCAAGTCCTTCTCGGCAGGGCTGCTCTCAATCCCTTCATCCCCCAGCCTGTAGTGATACTGGGGGTTGCCCTGACCCAGGTGCAGGACCTTGCACTTGGCCTTGTTAAACCTCATGAGGTTCACACGGGCCCACTTCTCCAGCTTGTCCAAGTGCCTCTGGATGGCAACCGATTTGCCAGTAGGGCATGGTACAAGTTTCATTTACATTGGGATTTTTGGTCCTTTCCTGGAAAAGGAAGTCAGTGGTGGACAACAGAGAGGAAGAAGCTGGTACTAAGGGGGTTTTTTTGTTCAGTTAGGAGGAAGGTGGGGGAGACTTGTGGGTCAACAGAGCTGACAAAGGAATCTATTGGATGAAATCTTACCTGAGTTTGAAAGTTCATTTTTTTAGGACAAAGATTAGAGCTAAGCTTGACTTTCTTCCAGTAGCTGGAAGTTTAGTGACCAAGTTAGATCATTAGTGACACTGAACCTACAGCCAGCGCCCAGCTCTGCCTATAAAACCTCATGAAAGTTTTTGTGATGTTCTAGTCTGAAGCTCCCTTCTACTATTAACATTTCTACGACCCAGTCTAACACGTTGTTTAATGCTACTTGTTTGAACTCGTATACATGTGCAACAGTTTCTGTTCCAGGTTTTTAAATGGTAAAAAAAAAAAAGGTGGTAAAATCTTTGCTGCGATGAGTGTCATTGCGAGTCACATAACTCCAGCTGACTAGTTAAAATGTGTAAATAAATAAATAAAATTTAAAATGCAATACAACAAGCTTGAATTGGTTTTTTTTCTTCTGATGTCCACAGAGGAATATGGTCTGGAAATAACCAACAATGGTCCCATCACAACAGGAGCTCAAGCTACTGTTCACGCCAGTCTAAGTATGAAGAATGACAGTGTCACATCAAACTTGTATCACTTCAACTGGATTTATGCTCCTCTGATTCTGATAAAGAAATCCGAGCAGCGGTTTAACTCCGTAATTAATGTGACCGGTGAATTTCCTGGGACTTTTCCTGTATCTGTCTGGGTGACTCATAGAAACTGTTGGTTATGTCGGCCGGTTGCTAGAAATGTCACTGTACTTCAGATTACAGGTAAAACGGCTTTACAACTTCTACGTCTTCAGGAATTCAGTTTACATCAGGATGCTTACTGCCTTTGCTAGCATCAGAAAAATGAAAGCCAGGCGTAAATATGGCTTCTGCCAGCCAACTCTGATTTGTGTAGCCCTTTGATTGAAGGTGGTTTTGGATGGCACTGTACTAACTGGGCCATGCTGTAGTCTGCCTACGTCCAGGAAGCAAGTGTGATCCTGCCCGTTTTCCTGCCTCTATCACTTAGAGAAACTGAACTAGAAACCAGATGCTTCAGTAGCTGCAGTTCACATATCAGCGTTGTTCAGTGACGTCCAGGCTCCTAAAACAATGCTTCCTGTACTGCTTCCCAGCATTTCTATTCCTAAAGTTAGGATGGCCAGCAGCAGTGACAATCTACTGATTTTCCCTGTTGCATGACATAGCAAAAACTTAGGCAATCAGCACAACAGAGCCATTACATTTTCTTTTAAAGTTCTGACTGAGTGTACTGAAATTGGATGTGAAGTCATGGCTGTGTTTCCAAATATTGCTAAGTGCAATTTCAGCTTACTGGGAATATTCATAACCATAAATATGCATTTTTTGACAAATTAACCAATGATGCAGTACGGTTAACCTTATCTCTGATACAGGGATTGACATGAAATACCATCTGACAGCTTCCCACAATCCCTTCTTTCACAGACTAGTAACCACGTCCCTCCAACCACATGTCCCAATGCTCTACTTAGACACTCCAAAATAGACCCAGCTCCCAGCCAAAGATAAGGACATGCGTGAGGACAAAAGAGCTAACCACAGGGCATAACTGACATTTTGGGGAATAGCTATTGAGATTTTTCTTTGAGGAACACCAAGCTTTATAAAAGTATACATGAGATCTTTTCTCTCTGAAGAACTGCTGCCCTGCTGAATATCTACTTACTCCTTTCTCGCTTTGCACTGTCTTATATTCTCATGCCACAAGCAAAAGGGATAGAAGCTTTCTATAGCTGTGAAAGGTAAGATCCCATTGTACCTTTCTGCCTTCTCCAAGCAGGAGCACCCACAGGGGCTTCACGGGGGCCCAAGGGTTGTTGCCAATAACTCATATAAATTACAACTCCAGTTAGTAAGTTACCAGCCCCATTCTGAAGCAGTAATTGTGATTCTTATTTGTGCATCATCAAGAGAACAGTTAACCAGATTTAATGAATTGTTAACAAATTAAGAGTCTGTTACTGGTAATTAATATCCCATTAATTTTATCATGAAGTGGTAAGTGTATCATCATAATACCTCTCTATTCATAGCTTAGAGAGGTTTTTTTAGATCAGCCTTTGCCAGTGCTTGTAAACAAACTTCATAGGATCTCTCGCAGATATCAAAATCAAAATTTCACCCTTTCTGTATTCACAATATGTAGCGCATCTCTTACTCATAGTAGTTAAATTTTCATTTCTGTGGAAGTAGCTAAAACTAAAAAACAAAAACCAGCAACATAAAAAACCCATAAAACAAACAAACAAAAACTACCACCCCAAACATGAAGGGCGTGTATACTGGTTTGATTCTGAATCCCTTGATCTAAACACTTGATGTTAATCCCAGTTCTTTTTAAATCAATAGTAAAAATTGATATTGACTTCAATCAGTCCAGGATTATTTCTCTTAGTTCTATTAGAAGCTCTATCATGGCCCAACCCTAAATAAGTAATTTAATCTCTCTGCATCACTAATGCATGTAACAACACTGAGTAATAGATATAAAATACACTTAACCACTTGGACTAGGACACAGAAAGACTTCTGCGGTACATTTTAAATAATGTTTTGATACTCACACAGAGCATGCTATGAAAGTGATATATGCTGTCATTCTTTCTCCACCTTATTATTCTGCAGAATTTATAACAGGGAATCTTACCATTGCCCAGATAGAAGACAGTAGATTTATCACGCATGGTTCTAGTTCCTCCACGGGCGCTGTCACCCGGATTTCTTTCTGCCTTCATGACCCAAGTAATTACTTCAAGTCAGCATCATTTGTCTACAACTGGGATTTTGGAGATGGGTAGGTGTGGTTACTTTGTTTGCTTTAACGAGTATTCAAGATGGCTCTGATTCAGATGCTCATCTAGAGAAAAATTCTGATTAAATCATAGGACAAAGCATACACCTTTGTCAGTTGGTACATTCTTAGCATGTCAACCAGGTGAATTATGAACTTATTATGAATTTACTTATTGTAAATTATTATTTTAAAACATCATTACGCCTGCAGATCTCCATTAGCAGGTTGCTGTTGTTGAATAAGTGAATAATTTGTGCACTTAAGGAAAATGGAAGCAGTATACCGTCCTGTGGTTGGGCAGTAAGTAGCTGTTACTATCACTAGCTACCCATAAATATACCACAGCTTGGGTGAGGAGCTTCTGAAAGTGTATAGGTCTCTCAAATAATATAGAGGTGCACGTTAACACACACCTAATACTTACCTAATAACAAAATGGAGGGGGGAAAAAAACCCCAACATAGCTCATAACCGTCAGAAATAAAACCATGGGTAGTATCTAGCCCTTAAGCCACTCTGCAGTAGGAAGGAAAAAAGACATTCAGTTATTTTCCTTCTCTGAGGATGAATATATGTCCAATACAAATAAGCGTATGCAAATAGAAATGTAAGCTTTAGACTTCGAATACTAAGTTTTTTGTTTCTTTCTTTCTCCCCCCTGCCCTGCCTTAGTGCTTCAGTTAACTTACAGTCCACCTGCTACAAAGGTAGTTTTCATAACTTACTGATTATTCCTATTCCATTTTGTGAATTCTTTTAGCATTATCTTTAGTTTCTTTGGTTAAAAATGCATAAATATACTCTGGGTCTTATACTGATTGTAGTTTTATTGGTAATGCCACAGACATTAATCCTCATTGATATGGACAAAAAGTAGAATTAGAATCACAGCTGACTGTAGCATTGTCTATAAAGAAAATATATTTGAGCTTGCTCCTTTTTAAATCAGAAATATGCAAGGACTTGGTAAAAGGCAATTTTGATTCTAAATCTTTTCATGTTACACATAGAGTTTATCAGATTACCAAGGAACCCTTTGTCTACTATAACTGCTCTACCATGGGGAATCGCACGGTGCATCTGAAAGTCATAGCTGAATGGGAGCAAATTGGAAGCATCATACATGAAAGAGAAACAGTGCAGAAAACTGGTGATTTTACCACTGCTCTGGAGCTGTTAGGTAATGATAAAACATTCTGCATACTCAAAACAGAACTTGCTATACATGTACAGACAATCTAGCTTTAATATGATAATATAACTTCAGCATTGTTTCAAATGCAAGAACTGGTCAACATTATTCAATGAAGAGTTTCCATTGCAAAATGGACTTTGCAGTGTTCTAGTGCAGAAAAAATGGGGGGAAATATACAAAATCTTCCATTTCTTTTTCATTTACCAGAAGTTTCACTGTCTTTTGTAAAAGTCGTACATACACTTAAAACTTAGAATAAAATGTTTACTGTAATTTATGGAGGATTTGTTTGTTTAATTTATGCCAGCTATCCCTAAAAAATAAATTAGTTAAAATAAGCATTAGGAAAACCTCATTGATTTGATCAGCTTCCAGAGTAAACAAACACATAAGTAAAATTGTAAAGGATTAATAAAGTAGTTGATTATATATTAAAAAGAAATCACAAAACATTCAGAAAACTTACAACTCCTCTACTGCTAGGTTTCCTTTTTGGGTGTGAGGCAAGTATTACTATTTGTGTGACTGATGGAGCTAAAAATCTGTGAAGTCTATGAAAACAAACCTTCACTGGAAAACCAGTGAATTTCAAGTTTACATGTGGAGTGTGACATGCTTTTTTTTCTTCCTCTCAGATGCTGTTAAAAGTATTAATGTAGTGGGCTCCAGAGAGACTCATGTAATGGAAAACCTGAGTTTATCTCTTCATATCAATGGCACGTAAGTAGCAAACACAACTTCTTTCCCCAAAAAGCATTGTCTATTTAAGTGTTTTTCCCCACTATTTCCTTAAAAAGGTCAGTTGCACCCCACAGAACTGTTTCTTAAAACAAAAAACAAATTTCCTTTGAACAAAATACTGTTGAATATTGCTTTTTCCTGACTTGAAATACCATGAACTCTAAAAGCCTGAAAGAGCCTGCATCTTTACAGAAAAGTAGAGTCCTCCTACATAAAGCAAATGTTATTTTTATATCTTTGTAAAAAGAACGTTAAAAGAGAACTACCCAGAGAAAGATAGTGGCAAAAATTACATTTTAAAACTTCCTTTTGAATTTTCCTCCTTGACCAATTTCCCCACTGTTAAATTAAACTGAGAGTCCTGAATTAAATTAAATTCAGAGTCCTGTTGCATAGCAATGATCCTTGACTGGCACATGGGAGTGATGATGGGTTTGGGGAATAATTTTGGCAAAGTTAAGATTGCCACAAGATGAATAAGAGAGAGAGGCTCCATGCAGTGAGGACTATAGGAATGTAGGAGAGTCATGAGCACCTCGGTCCTAGCACAAGCTCTCTCAAGCTGCACTATTTAGAACACATCAGAGGGTTTTTTTGTACGGCAGAAGCATTTTAAATACCATTGAAACACTCGGGAGAGCTCCTTCACCATAAAAACTCCATGACCACAGAAGTCATTTGTTCTCCAGAAGAGTGACACTTTCACATTCTGCACCTGGGAGCTGTTTAGGCTAATGCTGGATTTAAAAAAAAAAGAAAAAGAAAAAAAGAGCAGGACTGTTAGTAGGGATGTAGGATGGAGTGAGCAACGCAGAGTCATTTGCCAAAGGCATAAATAGCCCACATAGACAAAGCAGCACAGTTTGCATTCAGAAAGTGAATGGCACAGTGGCAGGAGTGGAAACTGGAGATGGCATACAAGTAAATATGAACAGCCAAAAACCATTACAGGCAAACCTGAGACCCCTAAAAGTAGGCTTCATTTCAGGATAGACAATGTTTGCCAGACCTAACCTCCTAGCCACAGGACTAGGACTGATGCAATAGGAGTTTATGACAGAGAAGCAATGACAAAGGCTTGAGAGATGGGTTATCAAAAACAAAGTTAGAAAATGAGCTAAACACATAATAAAAATGCTGCTTTCTTTAGCAGAGAACGTCCTAAAGAGATAAGGAACAAAATGCTAATAAGATGGGGTAAAGAAAAGCTCTATCTGTTGTCAGAATCAGAGTCCACAGTGAGTAAAGTGAGTCCAAGCCAAATCAGTTGGAACAAGGGTCTGAAAATGTAAATAAAAGGCATCAATGAGACATGGTAAGAAGACACATGGCCGTAAAGTGGATTGCATCTAGATTGCCTGATAGCAAATAAAAATGTTTTTGTTATTGTAAGGGAGTACTGTGATCCTTGCAATTTATTTACCTTTTCCAGGTATTAGTCCATTGTACAGAGCTCATCTTACATTCTTTCCAGTTTTGGTTGTAGGGTTTTTTTAATCAGAAAAGTCTTGGGTGTACTTCAGTAGCACAGACAGTGATCTCCACCGTGTGAAAAGGACAAACAACCTATACTCCCTTGGAAGGGCAGGAAAAAAAAGGTTCCTTTTTATCTTTATTGGAGAAGGACTGTAGGGTTTTCTACACACAATGGCCTGCCTATGACCCACACAGGTATTTAGGTCTCAGCTGAAAGGCTTGCTTTTATAGAAGCACCACAAAGAACTTTTTCAATTGACAAATGCTATAAACCAAGCAATTGTGCAGTTAATTACTTCTCTATTTGTATTTAGATTAACTTCATTATTTTAAAAATTATTATACTATTTTAACCAAGTGATTCATCAGCTCTTAGCTGAAATTTTTGTGAAGTTTTCACCTAATTTTTCTTTTCTTTTTGTTTTTGTCATTTCAGCCCGCCGCTGGCATTATGCTGGCTTATAAAGTCTGAGTGCATTCCACTTGAAGGTGAAAAATGCCATCTGGTGGTGATTAATGGCTCCTGCTACAATCTCAGCCATACCTTCAGTGATGCTGGACAGTATTGCCTCAGTGTCAGGGTGGAGAATGGCGTGACGATGCTGCAGACGTACCATGAAATAAAAGTGTGGCCAACAGGTGAGGAGCAGCTAGTCTGAGCAGCACGGAGATTCCCATCTGTCAGGGAACCAAGAGTCTCAAACGTGTCAGGGACAATTACTAGCCTGCAGATGAGGTTTCTGGAAACTGGTATAGATCCCTAAAAGCATAGGAAGCAGGAAGAGAAAGGAGAGCGTATAATGTGCTGCTGAACCCTTAGTCTCAAGAGCATCTTGAAGCTAATGAGTTTCCTGGGAAGGCCAAGTTACTTAAATTACATTTTTTTTCAGTTTAAATAGTCTGGCTCTTGTAGTTACAGAGGATAACTAGGAAAATATATGCATCTGTAACACTCCCTTAATTAAACAGTCTCAATTCTTCTTTTTGTTTAGTTACATTTTTTTTAAGGGTAGATTTTTCTAGGCCTCCATTTCATTACAGGTTTCTGTCTCCCCAGCCAGCAATCCCCGCTGGCTCCCCCATGCATGCTCACACATGCCCCTCTTGGGTCCCTGAATCATCTGAGAAAGTGGTTAGTTGGCCAAGTGGAGAGGACCTGACCAGGGAACAGCCAGGCTGTGATACAGAATGGTTATACCATCTCACCATGGGCCAGCACTTGTATACAGACAGGACAGCTCACTCCAGAAGGCACTGGTGTACATTCAGGGCTAAGTGTGCAAATCCTCTTTGCTGGAGGCTGCTAGCTGCTGTGAAGATGAGGTTCCTTCCTGTCCTTTTGGTGTACCACAGGGGTACAAACACCCTGGAGAGTTAGGGCTAGCATATGTAACTGGGTGGGGTTTTTTAGAGTGTTCAAGGGAAAAGAGGGGTAAAAAAGGGAAAGACCCTTACAACCTCACAACCCCACATTCCCACTTCTGAGATTTCAGAAAGACCTGAAGTGATCTGGGCTGAAAAATTTATTCCCTGTTACACACATTTCCTTTGTTGTAAAAATATGAAAACTCCTAAAACATCGTTTCCTTCTCACTGTTGCCTCTTCTCGGTGTATTGTATCAGTCCAGGAATGTGCCCTTGTGCTCTTTCCTAGGGATCCACCCAGCTTTCTTTGTCCTGCTCTGCATCGGCCTGGTTTCAGTGACGCTAGGACTGGTGCTGTACACAACCTTTCGAAGTAACACACAACAAAAAGATCTCGTGGAGGTATTCAGTTACTCTTACTTTGAGTTGTGATAGTAATTAGATACCTTTCAGCCATGTCCCTTCTTCAATCCCCAGATAAACAGAGCGGGAGGGACCATTTCCCTGGTACATCTGATGCATTCCATGGAAAAATCTGAACAGTGTATGCAAACACTTTAAGCAGCAGGCATGCTTCTGGCTTGTTGCGGAGAACTGTAACTATAATTCAAGTTGCCAGGGCTATCGTGGGCAGTTTGTTAATATTCCCAAGCAGGTGCTTGCATTGAAGTATCCCTTCCGGAGGATCTACCTCAGAGTGGTTACATGAAAGAAAGCAGGGGGGTAGTGAGAGAGGATACAGGATAGTAAAAAAGGGCGGGTATGTTACCTGAAGCAGCACTAAATTGTCACCTGACCCTAGTATGTGACCTTTATCTTCCCAGCTCCCTTCCATCTCTGGTGTAGCTTTCACTTGCTACATTATCTTATCTGTAATAAGCATGAGCTCCAAAATCAAAAGTAGCTTTCATGGCCCTTTGGAAAGTACCTAATACATCTTACATCACGCCACAATATGAATAATACACCTCTAGAGAGACTGCCTGTGAGCCAGGTGTGCAGCAGGTATAAATCAGAAGTCTATTTGAAGTTGGTAACTGGCTGAAACTGGTTGAGGACCAAGTGCCATTTCTGGCCCAAAGTATTCTTGCTGGACTCACTTGAGCCAGTAGGACCCAAATTAAAAATGATCTCTTTGATGTTCCTTTTCCAGGTAGCTGACTTCGATTTTTCTCCACTGTCTGATAAAAACCTGTCTTCTCATTCGGAGTCAGGCTGTGGCCAAATATGTTGCAGATCATGTTTTCTTCGGTCATCTCAAGAAGCTGCCAGGGAGAGTCATGAACTTCTACATTCTTTTTACAAGCCAGTCAAAATGTACACAGTGTGAAGAACACAATTGCACTTTGGTTACACTAACTGCCGAGTTTAACTTTCTGTTATGATGAGTTAAAAGCCCAGTGCTGCGTGAATGGTTTGGTTTTGCCAATGCAATGAGGTTAACCACTTTAAGTCCAGCACTTGAGCATTTCATTCTCTGAACTAAAAAAAGAGCAAGCCCTGAAACACAGTAAAAGTATCTTTGTATTTTTAAATTATACGGGTGTACACATTTACAGTTGTAAATGCAGCATTTTATTCTTATGAAAGATTGTTTTATGTGAAGGTTTGCTAAACTCACTACCTCTTGTAATTTCTCTGTTCCTTCTGCTGTCTGTTTCAAAGAAGAAAATGCTTAAGACAAACATACCTTTCTTTCCTATGTTACAACAATATTACTAGAAATGGAAGTCACTCAAAATGCTGTTGAATGTGTCTTTATTCTAAAAAGGAACTGATTTGTCCAGGTTGAGAATTGCCTAGGTGCTTCCAATGAATCAGACTACCTAATTATGTTCTTTTTTCCTCCTGTCTTAAAAGACCCCTTTTTTAAGTTAATGGGCTTCTGTGGGACTGTAGTGGCTGGTGACCTGCTCATGGAGAGCTAACTGCTAGCAGTATTTTGGTGGGATGGCAGCACGTGCTGTAGAAGACTCCACATCTCCAACACTTTGTGAAGTAGTATGCCACTCTAATCTGTATAAGTAGCTTTTCTTTTTTCAGGCTGTTCATTCTTCTTTTCTTGCTTATATTACTACCCAGCTAGTCACCAAAGCTCCTCTTCCAAAAAAATGCAACAATCAGTAGCTCAAAGCTACTCAGCAAAACATATTCAGTTCAAATTCATAGTCAATGTTCAAGGCTGTATAAACTCCATGCCAGTTGCAGACTACCTTCTACTATCAGCTTCCTGCTCAGCCAGGCTTTGCCCCCTGCTACAAGGCATTTCAGAGTACCCTGGAGGCTTTTAAACAAAGGTGCCTTTGTGGCCATTTCTTTTTTTAGATGTGACACACCTGCCCCACCTCTGATTTAAAGCCTATGGGTATCGTGGGCTCGGGGTTTTTCAAGTATGTCATAATTTCTCAAATGCACTGATTGGGAGATAATTGTCTGAATGTGAGGGGATTTACCATGAGGTTTTTGGGATGCTCATCTCACACATTCAACTTCTATGTTTCCTCAGAGAAGCCCAGCGCTTCAGTTCCTCTGTGAACAAAATTACATGACCTCAGAAGGGCTTTGTTAATTAACTTGATACATTCAAAATAGAATAGGATCATCTAAGATAACAAATGACCCAGTAAAACCAAGTTTTTATCAAAAAGTACTTTCCAAGGCAGAACTTCTTTTGGCTTTTTTTCTAAAGAGAAATTTTATTTATAAGCAAGCTTGTTGATTAGGAGTGGTGTCTTTTATATTCCTTCTCAGTGCCCTGGTGTCAAACTCTTATCTTCAGTCATGTTCAGTCACTGTTAAAAATGTGCCTCTCCTTAGCAAAGAAGCTACTGTTCTCGAGAGCTTCAGTTTTATTGCTTATTCCTGAGATCCCAGCCATCTGAGCCACTGCCAAAGGTATGTGACTTGCTCTGGGATGTCAATGTGTTCTGTAAATGGCTACATGGTCCTTAGGCACTGAAAATAACATATTTCTGATGTGAAAAATGCAACTCAGAGTGATGGCGGCCCTAGACAGACTGCACAGTGACTCTCTGCAGCCAGAGGTTTAATTTGGGCTTCTGTTATTACGTTTGTGACAGACATGTGACCCTTGCTGCTATAATACACCTAAAGAGAATCCCTTGGCACACTAATGAATGTGTAAAAAGCCCTTTCTTCTCCATATTGCACTCCTAGCAAAGACAATAACTATGAGAGAGCAGACTCAGTTATAGGTACCTGAAACAGGGGTCATTTGGATTGGAGGAAGATCATATCAAAGGAATAAGACCTATGCTCTGCCCCATTTTCCATTAATATCCAGCTGATTCAAAGGGTATCATGGGGTGTTAGGCCATGAACACTGCTTCTTTGGTTTTATGCCTCCGTGCTCTCCCCAGTATGTCCCAGCTGAGATACAACTGATCATGCTAAACCTGGCTAAAGTGGATATCAACCCCCAGACAAAAAAGAGAGGGACATGGAGTTAGTGATATGAAAGACAGGCCTAAGAATATGCCCAATTTTCTATTGAGGAAAACAGAGCAAATGTCCTTCAGAAGAACATTGGCTCTTATTCTCTTCCTAAAATAAACAAAGGATGGCAAAGGAGTCAAATGATTCAGAAAGGTAGAAAAGATAAAGTGCTGCAAAGTGGAAACTCAACACTATCAAATAGTAGAAGATACTATTCAAGAGCAGATGGAAAAGAATAGAGGTTAGAAAGAAAGACATCTCTTGCAAAAAATAAGCAGTGGAGAAAGTACACTTAAAAGGGCATGTCAAGAAGCAAATTAACCAAGAAAATTTAAACAACCTTAACAAATTGAGGTATAAGTATGAGAAATATTCACACGAACGTGTTCCTGAATCCAATATGAAACTGCTTCCTGCACAAAAGACTGATCTGTGGGTTCAATAAATGCCTCTGAAATTGAAGACAAAAGGTAATTGAGCGGATCAGGATATAGCAAAGAGATTAGTGGGACGTAACAAGGATCAGCAGGAGGATTCATTTTGTTAACCTTAGAAATCAATGACCTGGAAAAAGGAATGTTCCGCAAAACGATGAAACTCACTGATTCAAAACAAGAGTCCAGTGAGTGCAAAGCCAAAGAACGATTAAATTCAGGTGATAAGCAACAGTGTGAGCAGATAAGACGTTTATGCAATGAGAATTATTTACAAGGAAATGCATTTGAGGACAAAAATATTCTGGAAAGGCATAGTATAAAAACACACGGTAAAGCAAAAGAACTTCTGTTCTGTTATATAAACAATGGTACCAGTTTGTGCAGTAGATGTGGGGACAAATTAGCCCTTTATCTTAACAGCAGAGCATAAGGCTCAGTGGCTGAACGGGTCAAGGCTGAATTCTGTCTTTCATCTCTGGAAAGTAGGTTACGCAGCCCAAGCTGTGACAACAGTTTGAATTCACAAGATCTCTATTGCATTTGCTGGACGCTGTAGGAATGGAAATTGTTTCGACAAGAGGAAGGTGAAGAACTTCATATTTAAATGTTCAGCATTATTATTAGATAATCAGCCAACATTTCACCTTGATTTTGGAGAGCCAGTGCCAGTTTCCGTGGAAACTGAAGTGCTATCCTGCAGCTGTCCCAAAATTGTTTAAATCCTGCAGATCTCAGCTTTGACAGCCCACCGAGCACTACAAATGTGGATTTTTAAATTGCAGCCACCAACATGGGGAATGCAGAAGTTCCAGAAACTTCTCGGGCCTCATCTTTCAGAACTGGGTATCCTCATCGCCAGTGTGCAAAATTCCTACAGCAGTGTGCATAAGGAGAGCAGTTGAAGTGTGTAGTGGGTTTTCTACAAAATACCATAGTTGCACAACTGACACAACTACAAGAGCGAATTATACTAGAGCACAAGTAAAAGACTTCTCTGGTCCCACGACTACCCCAGCCAAATAAATTTCTAATGCATTTACTCACAGCAGTCCTGGGAGGCAGGGAAGTGATATTATCACTATTCACAAGAGGCAAAAGGGAGCCATACAAGGATATGGAGCTTGCTTGTGCAGAGGCAGGTGTAGATGCCTGCATAAAATTCAAGATTAAAAAGATTAAGGAACCATGCAGGCCATGTTCTTTTTACAGTTGTTGGAGTGAGGTAAGCACTACATTCAGGTTGCCTTTTACAGACACCAACTTAGGTATCACGCCTACCTACCGTAGCTGTAACAAGGAGCCTGGGCATAGTACATGCAGCGTGGAGTTGCGATTTGTGGACTGTACAGCAGGTGTCTCCCAATGCACAAGAATGTTTCTACTATGCTCACACCCCCACGATGGCTAGGCGTGAGCCACTGGTAAGACTTGCAGTGAATATTTTTATGCACGCCTCGCTGTGGCATGTAAGCTAAATGCAGAACCAGATTCAATAAAAGATGCATATTATTCACAATACAAGTACCGTAGTTTTGGGCGCCACCCCAAGCAGCTATGAGAAATGACTCAGTGCCGATCACTACCCACAGAAACGCTTGCCCCGCACGGGGTGAGCCCCGCATGTCTCGCCAGAAGGCGATGGATGGATAGACTGAGCAAGTTGTGCAGGCAGTAATGCTCCTGGGAGAGAGCTTTCTGTACTTTATTCAATGCACTTGACATGACAACACCCTGTTCCACTGTCCCTTACATCAGTGGGACACATGCTGCGTGATTAGAAACTGGGCCCATTCCTGTGAATGAAAGCAGGATCACCTTCCATAAAGGAGAGTAACTGTGAAGTTTCAATCTACAATGACTTATCTTAAATTAAGGAAAACAAAGGGAAAGCAGCCCACAGTATAAAACACAGCTGAGTGTTAACGTTTCTTGAGATCACCTGGAGGTCCCCATTGCTTCAGCAGAAGGTCTCAGAAATAGGGAAGCAGAAGAAGCAACAAACAGGCATGTTCTGGTTTAATAGTTCTATAAGCTCAGTCCTTCCTGGCAATATAAACTAGGACTCTGTCATTTAAAGCTTCTTTTCAGCTACAATTTAGATACAAAATGAGAACAGACTACAGCAGTAAAAGCTCTCTTAGCTGATCAACAGCATGTACTTAATAGCAAAAAAAAATAATATATGCCATAGGTTTTTAATGCCTTTTCAGTTTCCTGTCCTTAATGTATTCTTCTTTCATTATATACCAAGTACTTTTAATATTTTGAATTAAATCAAAAAGGAAAAAATAATCTAAAAAATCCAAATGCACTCGCTAATTAAATAGTAATGCCCTTACTTTCATTCATGCAATCTTGATAAATTACAGTCTTCCCATACTAATTAACTTCAAGTTTAATGGATTTCTCTCACCACCCCAAGCTATGTAACAAAACA